ATAAAATGTACTTACTTAATGATCATATAACAAAAAAATACATTCAATGTGTCAGCATATGCATATTCATATGGTTAAGCATCTTAGCCCAAAAATCAATTTGTAGGTCTTATCTTCTAAATCAAAATTGTCTCCATAATCTTGATAGCATTGAGACCAAACCTTATCATTTTAAAAGCATTTTGCTGATAAAGCTTTTTAGGCAGTGTTGTAAATCCAGAGGTCATACTGACTAATATATTATGTAAGGTTTAGGTTTGTAAATTCCTTACACTCCGTTAGACTTAGGTTCGGGACATTATATCTCTGTACTCTGTAGTCCTCACTTTAGTTATAGTATCTAAGGTTATTGCTGATACCAGTCACCTCAGAAGCCCTCACCTTCCTGGCATTTCCTTTAACCTATATTGTTGGAATATCAGCCCTAATTTTCTAAATCATATAGATTACTTAAATAAAAATCTAATTTTAAAATATTAAGCCCAACATATGATAGTTTGAACACCTCTGAGTTTCTCATAATCAGGTGCTCCTACATTTTTCTCCCTTTGACTCTCATTCCTAAAATCTGATTTAAAGTTGATCGCATCTCCCTTAATATCCCTAAAAACTAATTCTTTGAATAAGAAATTCTCAAATTTTAAAAAATTAAAATATTAATAAATGTCTTAATGACTCTAAAGAAACTACTAGTTTAATCAAAATTATTTTCAAATAATAAGTGTTTGAGAAGTAATAAACCATATACAGGCTTACTCCTAACGAGGATTTGTACCATATAATAAAATAAATCATATTCAACTAAATATTGAATAAGAAAAAACTTCTATTAAAATACAAATTGTGAGTTTTCTTATTGAGTCCATAGCAAAATAATATTTTTACCCTTTGGGATAATATATTATTTCTATATCATACTCGACACAAAATATTACAATCCATTGAGGATGATAAAATTTCTCCAACATGGTAGTGTGCTACATTTTAAGATCACATCATCTACAAATCAATGAGCAAATGGAAGTCAACAATTAAATCCTTGAGCAATATCTCTTTTGTTATACCATGAATGCACCTTCTAACAGGCTACAAGTCCTTGGGCCGAGTTCTCTTACAGCATAACACATTACTCCATCAAGAATACTCTATTCCAAATTGTTTATGCAATGTTGCCTCCAATCGTATCTTTTTTGATGTACCACCATGGAGACAAGGTTTCTTTTCTTACGGAGGAAGGAATTGCTATGGGCACTTGAGTTGAGCAATCACCACAACGCCATCCAAGCCCTGACAAAGGACCACCAATATGGCTCAAGGACTAGGTCTATTGTACTAGTATTACCGTAGTAGTATAAATAACCCTTGTATTAAACAAATGGATTGATGAAAAAAGTTATTCCTTTTTTCTGATTCTATCCACTTCTCCACATTCCCAAATTCCTTCGAGTTCTACAAAATGGATCCTTTGAGTGCAATCAATCACATGCATAAATAAAATTTACAACACAATTTTAATTGAGACAATTATTCATAATTTTAGAAATTATAGAAAATAAGCAAAATTTATATAACAACAACAAGCCTTTATCCAACAACGTGAGGTCGGCTACATGAATCTTTTTTTTTTCCATTATGTTCTATTAAGAGTAAAATTTTCATTTAGACCAAGACTTTTTAGGTCTACTTCTCCCTTCCTTAACATAAGCTGGATTTAATAATCTACTCGCCTAACAAGATCATTGGAAGTCTAACGTTTTATGCTACCAAACCATCTAAGGTGGCTCTCTCTAATCTTATCTCCCATTGAAGCTACTCCAACCTCTTCACATATATACTTGTTTTGCATTTTGTGTCTAAGTCCAAAGCCACTCATCCGCCTAAGCATACTTATCTCTACAATACTTAAATTTTATGATTCTCTTTTAATGGCCAACATTCTATGCCACTAAGCATTGTAGGTCTCACCACCATCTTATACTTTCATAAATTTGAGGGGTACATTTCTATCACATAATAGGCCTAATAAATTCATACACTTCAACTATCCAACTTGAATTCTACTAATAATGTCCCCATCTCTTTCACCATCACTTTGAAAAATAGACCCAAGATATCTATAATACTCTTTTTTAATGACATGATCATCTAATGTCTCAATCCCACCACTAGATTTATCACTATTAAAATTACACTCCATATATCGAATTTTAGATCTACACAAACAAAAACATTTAAACTCTAAGGTTGACCTAACATAAATTTTACAAATAAAATAACTATTGTGAAAGTCATACATTGATTGAAGCTTACACCATAATAAAAAAATTCATATAGTATAAATCCACCATGCAAACAAAGCTATAACTAAATATTACATGATAAAAATGTGCGAAAGTAATAAATCATCAAGATAAGAATTTAAGCTTTATGTTAGTACAAGAAGATATATTCCTACAAAATATTCACGCAAATAACATTAGGCATAAAATAATCATATTCAATCCAACATTCAAGCCAAATGAAAAAAATAACTTGAGAAACATTATTGGAACTTGTTTTTAAATCATTTCAGGTACCCTTATAATCATAAGACTTATCCCTCAAAAAAAGAAAAATCAAAGATGGTATTGACAACAATATCCAAAAAAACCATTGAAATATCATAGACGGAATTCGCAAGCAACAAATCCACTAACTATAATAATCAACTACAAAAGTTACACGATGAACAAAAAAATGGCAATTCACACGCATAACTTACGGTGTTGAATTTGCAAGTCATGTATAAAATTAGAGTTAGAAATCAGTCAAAAGCGCCACAAATCAAAGAAAAGGCTATATCATAATAGTAACCGATTCCAAATCATGTGAAGGAGCTGCACGAAAGTTTCATATCAGTAATTTTATCTAACCATCAAATAGGTGCATTTTCTATCATTCACAATAATAGTCCAAATCACTTAAGTCTATTTTCAACCTCACCTTTAATAATTATAATTCCAAGTATTCATCTAATATATTAATTCATTAATCTATCATTCTTAATTTTGCACACATGCATATTAAAATCTCAATCCTACAATGCATAACTTATTCATCAATGATTTTTTACTACCTGACATTCAAATACATTCAACATAGCCAATCTAAATTTGGCTATGTTGCTCTCTTATGAAATCCTCTCTTTTATCATATGATGCTCTCTTAATCCATTTCTCCATTTAGCAACATAACCTTAAGTTAAGTAGTTATATTATGATGTATATCTCCATTCTTAGGAATACCAAATCCAAGATATTTAAACCTATCACAGCAAGATTTTTTTTATCTTTTAATAATATTGACAGATAATTCTTAATATCACGCCAACTAAAATAATATATTATATACGGATCCTTTGTTTTACTAATTCTATGACATTTATCATTTAAATTTACAACATATACACACACACAACATGAAGACATGCTTTTACAAATTTGATCAGATTTTTTCTTCATTGGTTCAAATAAGAAAATGAAGACATATATTTAAGGAATGTCAATCATTCTAAAAAATTTTCCATGTTTTCTGGTTTATAGCTCGATATTCTTCCCATTCCTTTGTTAAAACACCTAACTATCTTTTACTAACTTTATTCTTCATGTTAATAGAAATCCTTAAAATTTAAATTTTGGGTATAAGACTGGATCTAGAATTTATAAAAACTAAATGATCAATTAATTAAAACTTAACTTTGAGCTTGAAGGAAAAAAAAATCACAGTTTCCCTATCTCCTTCTCTTGAGCTGTAATAAGCGACACCAACTAACATTAGTTCAATAGATCCAATGCTTACCAGTTCTTTTTATTTTCCAAATTAAAAACATAAATTATCAAAAACTATAGCCTTTGCTATACTTACTACAATTTTATAAGACTTCTACTGTATTTCTAATCATTGCAAGCTTTGATAGTATTTAACTTGTGTCACTCAAAAGATATTTTTCTCTTATAAACTCACCCTCTTATAATTTATACAATAATATTCTTAATGAAACTAGTCATCTTACTCCTCCACACCAGGTATGGCTCAACTAAACAATTCAAATTTGTTTCTCTCCACCACTTATATTTTTAGGCAAATAATTTCTCACATTTTGAATTTCACCACATTATTATAGGGCAATGATTTCTTCTAATAGTTTTCTCTCTTACCTATAAGTTATACATAGCAATTAATGTATGTTGTATGATCAATTAGAATTTAATTTATAATCTTTGTAAAAATATCTTCACTCCTTCAATTAAAGGACATTTATTTGTAATTAGTGGCTCCACTTTTAAAGGTAATTAAGTTCTCTTATCATTTTTTAAGTATGTGCTTGTTACTGCAAGATTATTATCTATTATAAAATTAACCATAACTTTTTCCATTGTATTTCTCTCTCTTAGTTTATATTAAGCATAAATAGTCTCATAGCCCATCATATTAGAACATATTAGTACAATTAAGACACCAAAAAAAAAAAATCAACTCCTCCCCAGGTATGTGTCGCTATAGTTCATCTATCTCTTCCCAAAATTGATTGTTTAGCATATCATCTAATCCTACTCAAGGACGATAGGTACAATAACTTCAAAAATTTCCTCATTAATAACTATCATAATTGTAAATATCTTCTCACTTACCATATCCACCTAAATAATTTTATCTTTCCACTCATTACTTACAACTATCTATCATATTTCTGTTGTTAATCTTAGCAACCCATAATAATTTATAAACTTCTCCATCGTCCTTAAATTTGTTTTCCTGTTTTGTTTCTTGTAAACAAGAAATAATTATTCCTCTTCTAATCACAATGTCCTCTAATTTTATGGACTTCCCATTTAAAATTCTAAAATTTAATGTAGTAAATCAAGTCATAATTTTAGATAAATTCAAATTACTGACTCTAATAAATCAAGCAAATAGAAAAACTACGTCTATAAATAACTTAAACCATAAAAAGAACTCACCTGATCAATAACAACATCTGTTATCAAATCACCTGCAATCTCTTTCGACTCTGTGACCACCAACAAATCCTCAGCAACCCACCTTCTCCCGGAAGGAGCCGTTGACATCACTGTGGCAAACCTTTGGAGATCCCTGCACTCCTTGTGCATTGACTTCGCCAATTTCTTTCTTGCAACCGCGAGGACAACATGGTCCATGGCGTCCTCGCTCATCACAACCTCAAATGTGATTGTATCCTTCTTGTTGAACAGCAGATTTGTCAACCTTGCAATCAAATCATGCCGGCTCCGAAGCTCCATGGTAGCAAGCAGACCCTGACAGAACCTCCGCCCGCTGGCATAGAACTTGAATACGTCCTGCCCCTCCTTGAGCAGCAGGGGAGCGTCCTCCTTGCCGTCTCCAGTCCCCAATAGACTAAAATTCTTATCAAATATCGAATCTTTGGTGGCAAAGTGAGAAGCCCAACAAAGCGCGACCAACTCGTTCTGTCGTTTTCCGATTAAAAAATTGATAGCGAAGGCGATGAGAAAACTAATACACACTATTTCAATCGCGTACGAGCTCAGGGAAAAGGGCTGACGAGGGATTGGAACAGGGTATCCAGCAACAGCTTCGGCAGATGCGGGCGGCTCCAATGGCGCAGCCGGCGAATCAGGGCTTGGATCGGCGATTTGAAAGGGAATACCCTCGAACTCTTCCTCGTCCCAGAACTCTAGAGTAGAAGGCGCATAGGTTTTTCCGCCATGTTCGACGCCGTAGGCGGGGGGATCTTCGATAATTGATGGTTGCGGGGGCTCGTGGTGGGATTCGGCGGTGGAGGATTGGGTGAGGGAGGTGGCGGCAGGAGGGGATGGGTTTATGGACTGGGCGTGGATGGCATCGTTGGCGTCTTCTTCGTATTCGAATTCGTCGGTATCGAACCCCTCGAAGTCGGCAGCGATGACATAGCTGCGAGAGAGCTCGTTGGTAACGAGGGAGACGACGGAGACAATGGCAAGGAGAAAGAGCAAGGAGTCACCACGCAGAAAGATAATGGACGGCACGGCCGGCAACCAACGGCTGGAGCCCTGTTTCACCATCACTAGAGCAGGATCGTGGGAGGGAGACGGGATCGCACTGTTTATGGAATCCAAAGTAGAAGAAAACAGAAAATATGTGGAAGACCGTATGGGGGCGGACAGCACCTCCGCGAATGAACAATAATTAGGTGACCTGCTCTAAGTTAATACATCAATAATATAAGTTCATATGTCAATAATATTTTGTCACGGTCTTCTTTTTTTTACCACGTGGCCCAACGACCTGATTCGGATCGAAACCCGAAATTACTATGTTCGCGTATTGCTCGGTATTACTAGGTATTTCTCGTTATTGCTAGGTATTGGTCTTCACAGAATGGTATGAGAAATACCGCTCTGTGAAGAGCAATACCGAGTATCGATATTGCTCGGTATTGCTAGGTATTGGTCTTCACAGAATGGTATTTTTCATTATTGTTGAACAAAATCAACTAATACCTAGCAATACCGAGCAATACGCGAACATAGCAATCTCGGGTCCGTTCCGATCGGGTTGTCGGGCCGCGCAGTAAATAGTGAGAATACGTGGCACTAATTTACTTGCGTCCGAACGTAGAGCTACGTTAAGTGATCGGACCAAATAAAATATAAACTTATAAATTTAATAAATGTCATTGCTATTTAATTTATATGTCTAATTAAAATTTATATATATATAGCAACTAAAATACAAGACCTTAAAAACTTAAACTAATTAAAAAAAAAACAATTAAAATTTTATTTTTAAAATTTGTAATATATGTGAGCAACTTAGAAAACTTGAATTAAGTTATTTAGTCTCAAATCATTTGTAAGCTTTATTTTTATCTCATTTATATACATTTTTTTTAATTTATATGAGTTCGGAACTTGCATAGGGTGATGCAACTATGTGGATATACTTTATTGATGCTTAGTTGATAAATTATCATTATAAAAATGTAATGCTAATTATTAAATTAAAACAAATTAAATTTATAATAATTTATTAAAATAAATATTTAATTTAATTATGTATACCATATTTTAAATTAATTTTTTAATTATTTAAATTTGATTTTTAAGTTGAATCAAATTGGCAATATTACTGGTTATAGTTAAACAAATCTAACTGGTATATTTATTTATTATTTATTTTTCAAAGGAATATTTTTCATTTATTTATTTTTCTATAAACAAATTTAAACTCTGATGTAAATAAAATTGGATCGATTAAGGTTTGAACGGGGTTGGAAACACATTCAAATATTGTTTGAATCATGTTCCAACATTTTCAGCATTTTCATTGTAACAAATTATAAGGTAGATATAAAGGAGTGCATTACGACAACTATAACATAATATCTTACTCTTTGATTAAAAAATAGCTCTTCTTTCATGATTAAGAAAATAGGGGATGCATGGCAGCTTCGTTGCCAAACATTCTTCTAGCCTAACAAGTTTGGTAGTTAGATCTACGGTATTTTTAGGTGTCTCAAAATGGGTTCTCAGGTCGAGTTTGGGTCCAACCTGAAACTGAAACACCTTCAACTAATCAAACCCAAACTCGACTCGATTAGATAAATGGGAGAGGAATTCAAACACCAATCTGACCTGTTGGGTTGCCGAGTTGACCCGACTCGACCCACTAATTCTGATTACGAGCTGGAAAATAGGCCATTGAGGATGCAAGCACTGAGGGTGATTGTGCAAGCGTAGGTACTATGTGCGAGGATGCAACTTCGAGCTACAAGAGACACATATGTGCAATGCAAGCACATGTGAGGGGGTGCGAGCATATGTACTATGTGCGAGGCTATGGGTTCGAGCTACAAGAGACACAAATGTGGGTGTTGAACATGTTGAGTGCCGGTTCAAATGCGTAGGCAGCACAGCGGAGCCTATGCAAGCTGAGATAATGCTATTGTATAGATGTAACTCGGGTCAAATTCAGGTTAACGGGTTGACCGAACCTTACATAATTTTTCAAATGAGTCATAAATTGGAAGCTTAACATGATATGTTTTTTAAACGAGTTAACATGAACCCGAATTATTCAGGCAGGTTATCGGGTCAGGATAATAATTAACACCCTAGATATTTTTGCATCTTTAATCATTAACTCTTGGGGTTAGCAACTTCTAGCTCATTTGAAGCCATAGTTGTTGGAATCAAAGGAGGACCTAAAGCTATTAGTTATAAACCAAGATCCCGAGCTCATGATTTTGATAATAACAAATATTATTTGGATTCTATTTTGGTTCTCCTAATATTATTATTAGATATTTATTTTTATTCATAATAATATTTTAGGTACATCGAACACCATGCAAAAGGCTCATCTCAAGACTAGGTAGAATATGTTTGATATTTTTGCAAAGAGTCAATATTTTTTATTTATTTAATTTTTATATTTTTTAAGTCAAAAGTCCTGTAAAAAGGTGTACGATATTTTAGCAATCGTGCACATACACTAGCGAGAAAAATTAAATGTTTTAAATTTTGTGAATATCGTACTATATGATATGAATTGTACTTTATGATATGTGTAAAATAGTTATTGATTAAACACTTAATTAAGGAATTTTGAATTTAAACAAATTAAATTGTACGATATATATCGTACAAGACAATCTATAGAAATAGAGTTTCCTACCACCAATCACAAATTAAGCAATAATTTGAAATTTAAATTTTGAATTAATCACATAGTACAATGCCAATCATAATGAACGATATTAACCAATCTTGCTTAATTTAATCATGTGATTAGGTAATTTAATCAAAATTAATTAATTAATTAGATCATGTTGTACAATGAACCCCATCATATTGTATGACCCAATTTGATCCTAGGACAATAACTAACCACCAGCGATCATACTAGGAAAAAATCTTATCTGATTGAACTAATCATATTATATGACTCCTAATATCGTATAGAACAATCAATTCAAACTAATTGAACTAGTCGTGCATATCCTTGTTCATCGTACAATATTAAAAGGATGAAATGGACTAATCATATTGTACGATCAGAAGTGACAATTAAATTTTTAAAGGTTTTTTAAGCCCTTTATTTATGCTTTCTCATTAGGCTTTGTAAGAGTCTTTTTGGTAGTCATTGGGTTGTTTCTTTTAAGAGAAAGCTTGAAGAGAGAGCCTAGAGCTTGGGAGAGAAAGGGTAAAGTTTGTGAGAGAGGGAGAAGATCCTTGTGGGATTCAAGGGAGTGTGAGAAAGAAATTCATATGATTTCTTTGGGAGCTTGCACCTGAGTTCCTCCACGCATCATAGTTTGTATTGAAGGAAGCTTTGAGAAGAAGATCTCTTTAGTGTCAAAGGCCTCAGCTACTCCTTCACACCAAGGAAGGTATAAGTGATTTGGTTCTATGCCTTCACCAAGAGGGTGAAAAAGTGTTTGAAGGGAAAATGGATTCGAGATTCTCTTCCTTCACTGGGATGGTGAAAAAAGATTCAAGGTACTCTGCATTCACCATGAGGGTGAAAAGATGTATTAGGTTATATGCCTCCCTAGAAGGGTGAAAAAGATTTTGGTACTCTACCGCTTCGGGTTGATAGAAGAAAATCTTATAAGAGCTTCTCTGCCAAACTGTGGGGCTAAATGAGAGTCACTGAGTGTTTAGTATAATGCATAGAGAGGAGGACTCCGGTGAGTGGACGTAGGTCAAGGTTGACCGAACAACTATAAAATTTTAGTGTACTTATTTCTTATTATTTTTTCTTATATTTTTTTTTATTTCTGTACTTTAATTTTATCCAAATTATTTTCTTGCAAAATTTATGCTTTGAATGTTGTGATTATTTGGATTAATTTAGAATAAAAAGAATAATATATTTTCAAGTTCATCACTTGAGTTCTCTAAGAAATGAAAAATTATTACATTGACTAGATTCAACATATTGACCTCATTTGAAAAAAAATTAGATGATTTTCTCCCCTCTCTCCCAGCTCCCAGGCAAAACTACAGTGATTCTAGGGTTTCCCTATAGGCGCCTCCTTCTGGCTAATTATGGATTTTTTTTTGTTTTGATTTTTCTGGATTGTGTTTTTTCTAGTTGTTTCTTCATTTTCATGTATTTGATTAGTTAATTTCCCATTTTTTGTGGGCTTTGGGCGATGATAACATCGTTGTCATTGAACCCTTGGATCTCTTCGATGGTTTATGGTAAATCTCGCCCTTTTAAAGATGTTCTTGTCGGTGATTCTTCCTCTTCATCTGCTAAGTTGGATTTGGTTCACACTTCCTTTAAAGGCTCCCAACTTTGATGTTTAATGATAAAGTGGTTTTTCATTTACCTGCTCCCTTTCCTTTAACTTCAGTTGGAAAATTTATTCTACGTCACCTAATCTTGATGTGATAAGGAAGTTCTTTCTCAACCTGAAACTTTCTGGAAGTTTTTTTTGTTGGCTTGATGGACCAACGTCTTGTTGTGATTCAACTCTCTAACGATTTAGACAACAGTCACATTTTTTCTTGAAGAACATACTATATTCTTGGTTGTCAAATGTGTTTATTGAAGTGGACTCCTGATTTTGATGTGAGAAAGGAATCACTAATAGCTCCTGTGTGGAACTTTTTTTTCTAATCTAAGACTAAATTTTTTTAACTATCAAAACATTTTTACGTTAGCTTCCATCTTTAGCAGACCTTTACAAAAGGACCAAGAGACTGCTTCTGTATCTCGTGAAATTACTAGATGCGCCAAGAGGGTGTGAATTCGATGATATTTAAAAACTTCTTTAACTAAAAAAAATTATCTTTTTATAACTTCATGCGGAAGCGAATTTCATTCACAATAAAAAGATAAATTGTTAATCAATTTCACCCACGCAAATAATCACAATAAAAATGAATGCAGAAATCAAGTGTGGAAATGATAAAGGAAAGAACACACCGATTTATAGTGGTTCGGTCAAACCATGACCTACGTCGAGGAGAGGCACCCTACGAGTATTACACTAAACCCTTTAGTGATTATCCTTTAGCCTCCACAGCTAGGCGGAGAAGCCCTTACAAAATCACTTCCACCTTCCCTGGTACGGCGGAGGAGTCGGGTCATTTGACACCAACGAGATCTTCTTCTTCCAAAAACTTCCTTCAAGACAAACCTTGAATCCGATGGTACTGAGATGAAAGCTCGCCGGAGCA